AATTGGAAATAGACCTGCCCGATAACCAAAATAGTGGCCTGATGTGTGTATCTGAAAACCCTTTTAAAAGTCTTAATATGATGTGTTCAAATGAATTTAAACTTGACTGACTACTACATCGAGAACCAAAACTTTAAGAAACATCCATCTGAAGGGTGCAATGTTAATTTTTGCAATCACAACACATGAAAAAACACATTGCAAAATGTGACCTATCATGAAAACCACACCTGCCTAAAACTATTTGAATTAATGTGGTAAAGTCTAGGTAGAATTTCGCTGTTACTATAATCTTTCCCTTTTCTCATCTGATCTTCTATATGGACATAAGATCTAAGGAGACAGTTACAGTAGCATGGTTTTAGAAAAGTCTTATGTAATTAATTTATTATTTCTCTGAACAAGCAACAACAGTAACGGACATGCAGAGCATAAGATATGGTATAATTACATTTTCACAGGTTCCTAAGAGGTTTACTCACAAAAGATTCGTTCACAAATTCAGTCCAGTAGGCATTCAGGGAAATTGTATATTTGAATTGAAAACTGGTTAATGGATAAAAAACAAAGAGTAAAGATAAGGGGTCAATGCTCTGATTGTGTGATAAAATGTATGTGTGTTACAATCATATAAGATAATACAATAGGACCATTAGTAACATCAATAGAAAAACAATATTGCTCATCTGGAATCAGTCCATAGAAGAACAACCATATAATGAAACAGGACATTTTAAAGAAAAGTATAATGACAGGCGAAATGAACTGAATAGTTTAGTCTTTAAACAGAGAAAACTATGTGGAGAGTTAACTCAAGTATTACAAATCTTTAAAAACTCAACCCAGTAGACTTCTCAGACTGCAAAATCAACTACTGAGACTTAAATTATAAGGCACACATGGAAAGTATGTTGAAGGATATTTAAAATCAAGAACAGGATGCTTTTCTTTCTTCAAAGTTTGTAGGAGTATGCCACCCAACCATTTTATTATTGTCAATGCCCTAGTTTCATTCAATAAATGACTGGATGAGACCCTCAGATCAATTAGCTACTAAATACCAAATAGGCTTATCTTCCCTGTTACAAATTTATTTCCATCCAAGCAGTGGGATTCTTTCTAATGTCACATGTTTAAAGCGTGTGAAGTTCAACTGAAGACATTAATTATAATTTAGCTTCACCAACATTCATCTTTGATAATAATACTGCTGCTCAATACTATCTACATTTTTTTTTAGTTTCTCTTTATGTTCACCTGAACAAAGCAATCTGCTTCCAACCGGAAATACAATTCCCACTCACAGACATTGAACCACAAAGACCTTCCATATCACTCATAGTTGTTAAAGGAAATGAATGATGATGATAAAAAAAACATGGTGCTGTCTGGCTAGAACTGAAGAATGAAAACTAACACTTGGAGGAAAGGGACAGATTTTTTTGCCACAGCCTTGCAACAAACAGAGAAGACGTGTTCAATATTTAGAGGGACAAGCATTTTTTACAATTTAATTCAAAATAGGAGAAAGTTAACAAAAGTTTTTTTTTTCAAAGAATTTAGTAAAACAAAACTGGATCTATGGTTCATGTTAAAAAAACATTTACGCTTAAGTGCCATTAAGAGTGTCTGCTTATTTGTATGTATAAAAAACAAACAAAAAAAACAACAACAATAAATTAGGACACAGAAGGGAAAGAAAGCTGATGGAAGAACAGTTCTGAAGTGCTGTGTAGGATGAGCTTTGTAACCATGGAAACTAATGATCACACAGTTCTATGAACCTTTGAAACTTGTTTTTACTCTGCATATGTTAGGATGCAAAATAACCATGCTCATAATGTGATTTAATTTAACTATCCAGCTAATGCAATTATCTTTTTCAAGTCTTTTTTTATTCATACATCCCAAAAGGCAGTGTGTATTTTATTAGTTTTAAAGATTTATTGCTAGTAGCCTTTAAAAGAAATACAATGGAGAAAACACTCCCAGTCCTATAAGTGAAATGTATTTTGCAGATCCATGCACCGATGCACTCAAGGCAGAGAAAACGTGTTCACAGCATCTGATGTTTGAAGCTGTTATATTTTTATAACTAAACCTACCACCTGGCAATAGTTGGGTGAAAATGCAGGAACTCAACAGGAACCTCAGTGAATTTCTTTTTACCTCATTTTTCTTCCTATACTGAAATTGTATTCTGTGTTGTTCATCACACTTCTTACCCAGTTTTGCCTTTATTTAAAAAAAAGGAAAATGCTTCAGTAGCCAGAATCCTGACTGATGGAACACCAGCTAGTGAGCTAGTGCTCACTTACAGTGACCCTTGACAGACTGTTGGGATCATGTATCTTGCAAAAGCAGCAGTGGTGTGTGGACAAAAGCCAACTGGGACAGGGATTATTGAGTCCTAACTTGCAACTGCCAGTGCCATGCATCACCAGGGCCCTCAAACATCCAGCAACAGAGTAATCTAACTGTCTGTCACTAGGAAAGCCTGAGCTTAGGTCTCAAGAGAAAAGGACTATGACAAAACAATGCTTACACTGTACAACAAAAAGCAACGGTATACTTTCATGTGACAATTCTCACATCTTTTTCAGTTCTATGTTGAGGTATTGTTTTCAGGAACTTGGAAGACAATAAAACACACAATAGACCTGAATGAAAAAAAAATCTTTGTGGATGTATTCAATAGATATGTAACACAAATTCTTTAGAACACCTTGTTTGCTTTTGATTGAGATTCGTTTTGAAAAACTGCTGAAAAACTGTCACAACTGGTTAACTACTTTTACTCTTGACTTTGATATACCATACAGGCTATTAATTTAAAACAGCAGGAAAAGGGTAAAAAGCCACGGATAAAATGCATAGGTCCTAAAGAGTTTGGTGTTATTTAAGATAGCTGATTAATGCATCAGGAAAAATCCCCCAAAAATAGAAAAAAAGATTTTAGGAAAGCACAGAAGAAATGCGAAAAAGATGCAAGCTATTTATGAAGCCAGTGAACATTAACACTTCCAGACATACCAACATTTTAGATATCAAAATTAAGATATATCTGAAAAAAGGCTGAATAATTTCAAAGTTAAATCTGACTTTTCTTGGTTTGCTACACAAGTGTCAGATATTCTTCTACATTTGCACACCACTGAATTATGATACTGCAGAAGAAAGGAAAATAAAAATAATTCAAATATGTTTTTGCACTGATCTGTAATTTTTGCTACTCTTATGCTTTTTATTCAGTTGTTTATGGCGCTTATACAATGTATGTGCTTAGTATTCTAGTCACCTACTGTGTGTGCTATAACTAAAGCCCATTTCTTTAGCAGCTCAGGAAAGAAGACATTTCACTGTCCCTACCCACCCCCTTCCATTGTAATGACAATCTGAAACCTCCTGGGAAATCCCACATACCAATAATGTGAACTGATAAACTGAGTTAAGCTCTCTTGTATATGACAGTGCATCTGATTTTCAACCATTTTCTCTTTTTTTAACGTACACTCATGACACTATTAGGCAGTACAGTCAAAAGACAGCACACATTTTCAAAATCCTTTCTTGAGGAAAAAATTCTAAAAGAAGGCATGTTCTAAAACACTGTCAACCACCTTCAACAACATAATTTGTTTAAATACATATATATGTTTTTAGATTATGTTGTCCATTCTTTTTTAAATCCACTTGTTAGTCCATGTTAAATATAACTTTTTTCTTTCTTCTTTTTAACAGACGAAACCACCAAAATCATTTCTGTTTTTTAACAACCCAACAGGGAATTGTCAAATGTCAAACAGTTCGACTTGCTGCTGCAATCACTGTACCACTTGAGAAAAATGTGGACCGGTGGACACACTCCTGTGGCAGACATATCTGTCAGAGCCATTTATAATTTAAAAGCTCTGTAGCATCAACAGATGCAGAACAGTTATGTTGTCACTTACAGCTTGCAGGTGCCTAGCAGGTCACAAGAATCACTGTACCAAGGAAAACCTATCTGACTCAAATCCACCCAGCCACACTAATGCTTAGCCAATTGTGTGCCACTGCTTAGGAAATACTGGCCATAGACAATTATTCCAAGTCATGAACCAGCTGGACTATAGGGTTCAGTCTGTACTCAACTTTATTTACTGGTTGAGCCACTTGGGAGCACAAAAACGTTCTTAGAAAGAATGAAGAATCAACCACTGAACGTCTCAAATCATTTCAGAGTTTTTTTTTACATAAACTATGGAATAAGGATCCCAACAGGTTACACAAAGGTGATTTACTGTACTCTCAAAATAGGTATTTGTCAGTCAAATGCATTATTACCTGAATGGAAACAATCATGTTTCTGTTCAATGGGCTCTGAGCCCTAGATGCTACATGTATTCCCAGCTTATTCCACAAATCTTCAACAAGGTTCCAATCTGGCAAGAAGTGCATCAATGACATAACTCTCACATCCTCATCATGAAATAAAGCTACTGTTACATGAGCAGCATGAGGATGTAAGCTGTTCTTCTTGAATGTCATCTTAATGATGCTGTAGAAAGGCCAGCAACTGAGGTACAAGTTAATCATTAAAAGTGAAGTTCTGTAACAATGAAGCACTCCTGTCCATACACTCATACCTGGAGGATGATGTGTCAGCCTTAGATTGGTATTATAACTTGTGATGTCCCAGATTATGGCTTATTATTGATGTACCTGTACCATGATAGCTTAGAAATCAGTAGCTTTGGACACCCCAAACGATCCTTCCTTGTATGTAAGGCCATCATGCCAGTGGCAGAAGGGCTTTTCTTGGTATTGGTTCCTTTACATGTTCTTCATTCTTGAATCAACTCCCTAAGGAGGTGATTCAGTGCTTATGCAACAGTCATGATCCACTCATCAATACCCACATGATGAAGGATCAATTAATTAAAATGAGGCGAAAACATTTAATACATATTTATAAAATCTGTATAAATATCTGTCATAAAATATGGAAATGTACTTGCCTTTACTTCCACGTGTGCCATTAGTACAGCAAAATTCGTAAGATGAGTACAGGAGCAAGTTGTGTGAGTCCTGTTGGTGCCCAGTAGCCGACAGTCTTGGGTTGACCAGTATCCTGTCATTGTACGTTTAGAGTAACTCCAGAAAGAACAATTTGGGTTGAAATTTTCTTCAGATTGCTGGAAGACAAAAATATTAAGTTAGACTAACAAATTCAAAACTACGACTAACCAGATATCAATTCTTAAAAATGCACAGAACTGAAAAATGGCAGCTGGATGAGGAAGGAACATTTCAAGAAGTACAGTACATGAGAGAGTGAAGACAGAATTGAAGTTCAGACTATCGTTTGGTATTCAGATTACTAAACATCAAGCACAGATGATTTTTTGTTTACTTATAAGTTATATTTTATTCAAACTGAAAACACAACTCATAACAGTTAAAAGTATTTTCTAAAAAATACATAGACTTCAATCCTTAACAAGATATTAAGAAATTAAATCCCTGTATTCTGAGAAGGTTCTACACAACTAAAAGGAAGCAATTAAAAATGTAGTACTGTATATAATGTATAGGCAAAAGTAAAGAATGTAAATCAAAGTAAGTTATGTTAACATTGTACAAAACTTTAATAAGACTTTATTTAGAATACTTAAGTGTAAGTGTAACCAGGTACAGTATATTACTGGTTTAAAGGTACAGTATTGTTACATTGACAATAATAACAAACGTGTTAATAAAACTTACTAGCGCTTTAGTTTCAAACATGAAAAGATCTGTGGTACTGTAAGTATTCAATAATCATCTTAAGCTTTTACAAAACCATCACAAATACATATCTTCAGGCTTAACAGGAAAACATGATCAGAATGATACAAATGGAAACTATGTTAAAGTTCTTTAAAGAATAAGAACAGGAGGTGCTTTTTTACTTAAAGAATCCTTTGAGTCTGGAACAAGTATTTTTTAATGTTTTTTTTTTGTTTTATGTGGTTGTTAGCAACACTAAATAAAACTGAAAACACTGTCATCTGTTTTACAGGACTCCATTCTGGAGATGACAGGATCACACTAATTAAACATTTTATTCTCGATAAGCCTTGATAAATGTTGCATTGCAATGTTTTTGATAATAATTGAATATCTTTGTGAGGGAAAATGAATTCTAATGTCTATTCAATTTTAAATATCAACAAGTAAAACAGCTGAAATACAGTAGCTGGAGAACACTTAAGATTCTCCTAACTAATAGAATGATCAATAACTTGATTGAGACAAAACTATACAGTATGTGAAACACTGAGTCAAAGTCCTAGGGTGAGAGTACAAGATACCTTCTTCATGTCAACATAAACATATCTCAGAAATGTATTGTATGTCACAAATGCTTCTACTGTACAAAAAGTATATTTTGATGTTTACTGGGCAGTATCTATAGTATAACAAAATGTGTAATAACTACTACAGCACATAATCTTGGCTATCAATTCTGGTAATCTGCTACTAAAGCACATAATCATGGCTATCAGTGGAACTAATCTAAACCCTGGAGAAGTAACCACAGCATTTACACATCCCATTGCCATCTGTCCTTTCAGTAAGAAGGTTATGAAAACCATTGTGCACTATATTACGAACATCACTGGTACAGCTTGCTACTCGTGCACTTGAAATTGAACAGGGTGCATGTCCACTGTGACAATAATAGCTTTGGCCCTTCTACTGACACTTTCCATTTAATTTTGAAAGGTATCTCTTCAAAGTGCGGTTCCCACTCCCCCTCCATCGAACATTTGCAACTTCCATTGGGTCTTTCATCCTCTCTAATAGTCTCTGAGGCATCGATGTACGACAGCTGAGGGCATTTTTATTGCACTATGCTGAAATTAGCTAATGCAGTGTGGCAGAATTAATGTTACTGACTAACAAACATGAAGAACAATCTGATATTAAACATTTGGTACTTGTCTAAATTCCGCTGACTAGAATCCCTACATGATTGTTTCATAGGTTTCATTGCTATATTTATGTGTTATGCTTATGGTAAATAAATAAGAGGAAGCACATTAATGAACATCAGCTTGAAATCTTACTGAGCCTTACTGTTTTGAAAACAATTCAACAGTCATTTTGTGCTCTCAAACAACCCACATCCTGTCTGATAGAAATATTATACAGATGGCTTTCGGGGTGAATTATTACTATAAACATTCAAGATAATAGTGACAAGAGAGATGTTTGTTTTTCAAGTGTTTGTTTATATTAAATTTTTCTTTGTACCGAACATTAAAGACACATATTGCTTTATATGAAAGAGATAAAAAAATATATATGAGATACAGATTTAGCGACTCTGTTTATATCTATGATTCTGTATATGTTCACTAACATTATTCTTTCTATATTTAGGAAAGATGGAAAAATGTTTTACAATCACCCAGCCACTGGTGTGGTATGTACTGAAAATATACTGTTGAGATTAAGGCCAATTACCAAAACTGATTCTTCTTCATATTTTTTTACGCTTTAACTTACACACTTTGGTCATTGGATGAGCAAAGAGAAAGAGAATAAAACATACATTATAGTTGTAATAATATATACATTATCTGTGCTTGTTCAATTACATCTTCATGTGAACATGCAATGTGAAGGTTGAGTAGCGTGGAGTCATTCTATTTCCTTAAGTATTTATTGTTTATTCACAATGTTAAAGGTCACTGTTATACCCATTTTGTACAACAAGGTGGTACTACAGGTAATATGCGTTCATTACTGTACTTGAGTATTTCAGGATGAATGTCCCTGAAACTTGGTACCTTGTTATTTTTAAGTGTTTCAGATTTTATTTTAAATATATATAAATAAAAAGCAGGCAATTCTTCATCAGCAATGTTTAATGTTTTTATTGGATATGGATGGTTATGTAATTATCTGGAGTCTTCGACCCATGTGTGGTCTTGATCACCTTGATGTTGTTGAAGATTTCTACATTTAATTTAATTCTCCTGGAAGTTAAACCCATAACCAGTTAACTACAACAATACAGCATAGACAATTTTCATGTAATTTCCTGAAATAATTACATTATAATTAATCATATTAAGCTACAGTAGATGGTAGGTAGATGGAAACGTATAATAATTAGAGCAATTTCCTCAAGGAAAGATATTTTAGAAACAAAAAAGTAAGGGATAATCATCTCATTGAGTTTGTAAGAAATAGGAACTTCCCTGTGGGGAAACTGGCTGAATACTCTTTCAAGAAACCAGATGCAAAAGGGAGGGTTACCCTAAAAGAGACTTCCAAGAAATCAACACGGCACTAGCACAGGTCTCTGCATGGCTGGAAAGATGACATATCCCACAAGGACACGTGTCAAGGAGACTTTTAAAATACAGTTAAACAGCAAAGAATATCGGTTCCTGCTCTTCATACCTGCAGGTGCTTGACAGTGAAGATCACGGGGTCTGACAAGTAGACTTTGTTGCTCTCCTTGTTAATGGCAGCAGTGATTACTGGTGAATTGACAATAACGGAGTAGTTGGTAGAGATAGCCTCGCTTCCTAACTTCATACTAGCGTTCTCTGTGGAAAGGTAGGCTCCTAGATGTTTGTAGAGAACAAAGGCCATCCTGATCTCACCTGGGGAAAAATATACATATAAATATATATATATATGTTTTAAAAAAAGACAATGGCTAGGTTCTATGGCAGAAAAGCATTTCATGTATAAAGTTTATTATCATGTGAGTTACTTAAAAGAGAAAATGATGGCATTTTACCCATGGAAAAGTTAAATAGATAAGCTTTAACACACTTTAAAAGACATGTATTCTCAACATTAAAAAATAAGAATGGATGTCTCAAAACCAGACGCAGATATAATATAATTATTTCACAGTTTTTTTTCTGAAAATATATTGCAAGTTATGCTATTCTGACAAGAGAAGGAAATTAGGACTTAAAAGAAACACAAAAAAATAATTAGATCTTGTGCTGAGCCTCATTATTACTCAGGTATCTTTTCTATAAAGACCTTGTTAAAAAATCCATATTATTTTGATAGCACTGTTAAGAAAGTGAAATTAAATCCTGCTAAGAATCCACCCCTCACTTTAATTTGGTATTTCGTCACATTGTAACAGTTTCTTCTGAAACCTCAGCCATATGTGAATTAAAATTATGTTCAATTCATAACAATTTATAATTGTGGTTTTACTTACACACTTATTAATTACTTATTTACTGAAAACAGTTTTTAATTAAAACAGAACTACTGTCATAATGTTCAATTGTGTCTATAAAATACAAGTATTCAAAAATGGTCAAGGATTTTCTTTTTAAATACCATGTTTTTTACTAAAACGAGATTCTGAAGCAAAGTTCATTTCTGAATGTATTCAATACAGAACAGATATAGATCAATGTGGCATTAAAATACAAAATTTTTAAAAAACATGAAATATGCATGTGATACATTGTGAATCCAAACATGGCTTTTAATTTTACATACGAAGAATGATCCCTTTCCTTAAATATCAAGCAAACCATTTTCTAATTCAACAAGCAAAAGTAAAGAAGTCATCACAATAATTAAATGTAATTCAAACATCCATACCAAGCTTAGAAAAGAGACACTAGTGTATGTCAATATCATTACAGTTAAATATACTACTTTTAGTGGGCTGAATTTTCCCTATGGGCAAATTGCCCATGTAATTCATTTACTATGGAGTGGGCAATTTGCCCACAAGAAAAATATGGAACAGTAACTTTTAACAGTTGTACTGAATAAATCTAAATGATATTATACACTATAATTACAGTATAGATATGCTTAAAATATGGCAGTCCAGGAATTATAGGTCTGAAGAACCTACCATTTTTTCCGTGTTGCTTCAGAGTACTTGCTGACAACTGGATCGAGTTTCCATGCCCACCAGTTTGTGGAAATTTCAGGTCTGCCAAATTTCCATCTGTACTCAGCCTTGCAACTTCCAGTTCTGTATAAGGTATAACAGGGGGACAGTTTTTTTGGTGCACCACTGTTCCGAACACCATAATGTTTTTTTGGTAACACACATTTGCTTTTGTAAAGTAAAAAAGAGATGCTCAAATATGTTTTTCAAAGTTTTGTCATTGTTCGGTGTCTGATTTTCATTCTATGTAATTAAAATGTATTTAGTTTTTTTTACGTTTAGGCTATCTAAAGATAACCTTTATATGCTGAATTAATTAATCAAAAAACAGTTTTACAAGTATTCAGTACACTTTATTATTAAATCCATGCTAACCTTAAACTCAGTATTCTGCTCTTACACTATTACAAAGGTTTTTGTTCTGGTCACAAAATGCTCATTTATAAAGTCAATATGGACAAGTCAAGTCAAACAAACTGCTACAATTGTCATCTTTCCCTTACAGACACATTGGTCTTTGCTCTGGAGAGGTCACTCCTCTCTACAACATGCCTTGGGCTGATAGGCAATAAGCAAAGAGCAGTAAGACAGAGGCAGGTTCATGGCAGGGGCACTTGAATTATTACACTGGTGTCATAAGCCATACTCAAATAAAGGGGGTAGTTAAACTGCAAGATGATATTGTGTGTGACAGGAAAGTATAAGGGCATGGAGATATCACCTTTACTTTATTCTAGTAAAGTCTAGTACATTCTAGGTATTTTTTCAAAATATCACTAACTGTGCTGGGCCTGAGTTAAATTGGCCATGAAATATTAGGTTCCATCACTTATGACATACAAATGATACTCAATCTCACAAATGCCAAAGGAAGAACAGTGCTTTTCAAAAGGTTACACCACCTACGTACCAATAATATCACATTTTGAAAACTTTCAAGTAATGCATTGTTTTCTTTCAAATCCACTATATATTTTTTTAAAAATTGTAATAATCAACTTCACTGTTATAATTTAAGGAAGTTACAGTAAATGTCAGCAAAATATGCAACAATTTTATAAAAAGTTAAATTAACTGATTGCCTAAGTATTCAGCCCTCTACATCAGTTCTTGGTTGAAGCATGTATTGGCAGCAGTCAGTTTTAATGAGTCTCTACTACCTTTGCACAATGAAATGATGTAATTTTTGCCAATTTTTCCTGTCAAAAGTCTTCGAGTTTTGACAGGTTTCTTAGGGATTGTTGCTGGACTGGGACACTCAAGGACATTAACGCTCTTTTTGTCAAATCACTTCAGTATAGCTTTGGTCTTGTGCTTCACATCACTTCCAAAATGTATTTTCAACCCAGTTTAAGATTCTTAGGTGAGTCAAACAGGTTTTTATCTAGGTCTTGACAATACTCAGCACAGTCATCACTCCGGATACTGTACTTCCAGGTACTTTTTGTCATTCAGTCACTACTGATGAGTAAACAAGTAAAATTTTTCATGCTCCTGATTGAATGATATACTGTATACGTTATGAATCAGACATAACACTTAATATTTAAGCCCACATCATATTTGTTTTCTTGCCTGACCATAAAACCCTTCTACCATTTGTCAGCGGAATATCTCATATGAGATTCAAGATGAGTATTTGGCCCACACATACTCACTGGAAAAACGAACTCTAAAAAAAGTAACAAGTTTTTGCATTGAAGCTGCCATGATAACTTTAATCCAGGTCCATTCTGACAGAGTATTGGAGCCACAGTGGTGAGATAATGAACAGTAATATATTGTATCTGGCACCCAATTCATTCTTGCATTAAGTGGCTGAAGGCTAGTTCGCATGTATTTTGTTAAAATGTGTGTGATAAACTCCTTTTAAACCTGCTTTCACTGTATATTGTTTTTGCAATCTCTGAAATTAACCATGCATATCCTTTGTTTTTACAATACCTTTCACTTAGCAGTGGTAATCATGCCTTTCTCCAGTTATTCTACTATGCTTAAGAGCTCATTCAAGGTGGAGCTGAAAGGGGTTTTAAGGAGCATACAGTTTTAATTTTACCTAAACAAATTTTCCTTGCATAGACTTGAATGTGATGATCAGTTCCCAAGAGTACTGAATGTTGTACTCATGATATGAACATTTTAATAGTTTTACTTTCAAAACTTTCTAATTTGTGTAGTGCCATTAATGTCTTATACAAAACAAGACAAAAAGAAAAATAGTACCAGCCATTAGTCAAAACCAATGCAGTGTTCTTTTTTATGTTTGTTTTCTACTTGTTTTACAGCTTTCTTAATGATATCATATTATTTCAAACAAAAAATACACGTTACGGTATTTAACAGCTACATCTCTCAGTACTTTCTGCTGCGTGAAGCTAATCTTAATCTCAGACGAAGGCACACAGAATGACAGAAGCAGAAGAGTAAAACACATGCCTCTCACTAAGACACTGTTGACACTGAGCACAAGACTGGTAATTAATCTTAGGAAACCATACACATTAAATTACAGAGGTATTGCTTGATTTTTTGGCTTTTTTATTAATTAGCACATAATAGGAAACATGATATTCTCTTGTGTGTTTGAGACTGGGATACTTCTACAATGTTATAGGTGGTTCCTTTGAGACAATTACTTCAGTTCATGTCCCCAATATGGTGTGTTGCAAATTTATTCACTTCCGCACCTCCAGTGCAAATATTTCCACATTTTTGTTATATGAATTTACAGTTATCCATCCATCATCTAACCACTTTATTCAGTACAGGGTTATAGGGTAGGTGGAGCCTATCCAAGCAAACAATGGGCACAAGGCAGAATACATGTACATCCTGGATGGGACTCCAGTTTATCACATACTGTAGCATTCACAGACACACCAATTTTCCTAGAAGCCAATTAACCTACAAGTACTGTATGTCTTTGGACTGTGGGAAGAAACGGGAGCACCCAGATGAAAATCACAAGAACGCAGGGAGAACATACAAACTCCAGACAGATAGCACCCCTAGGGAGCTGCAAAGGTGCTGCCCAGTTTGCAGTCTTTTAAATAAGAACTTACACATGTATATAGTATTTTCACAATTACATTTTTACTGATAAAGTTAAGAAAATGATTGTAAGTGATGTAAATAAATGATTCTCAGTTGCATAAGTATTACAGCCCTTTGCTAAGTCAAAGATAAATTAGTTTAGGAGAAAAAGAAATACATACAGGTCTGTATGCGTAATTAATACATACAGTACATGGTTTCTATGTGTAATTAAAGTGGTTTAACTTGAGATAAAAGTAAGTAGTTTCCCTCAGATACTGTTTTATAATGAAATTGACAACAAGTCAAACAGCAAAACATTAGAGATGCACAGACCATCTGAGGGTTACTTAAACCTTTGAATAAAGTCCATCAAGCATTACTTTCTTTTCTTTCAGCATTTCAACACCTTTTTTTAAATTTCATGTTCATGTAGTATCTTTTAAAGATCGATTTCTGGACTGTATTAACACAGCCTTGTAGGCCTGGTACATATACTGTAGGCCTGGTATATTTACTGTACATTATAACTTTGAATTACCAAGACCAATGAGAACTGTAACTGGGAAATGTGTATTGAAGTCAGTGCATTGTTACACATGGTTCTAATATTGCACACATAAGATCCTGATTCAGAACAGTTAAAGTTTTTAAAGACTCAAGTTATAATCTGAAATTTCAGACACACACTATTTCATTATTTTTGATTTCCATATCAAAGTGGTAAGAACCAAAATGCCTGTCTCACAACTAGTAATTATTAATTCATGATAATAAGGAGCAGCATGACAAAATATAAATGTAGTTTGTCCAAATTGATTTTCCTGAATGCCCTAAGCAATCATATTAAGCTGCTAATGAGAAATTCAGCAGTCAGCTGTACAGAAAAATGTGGAACTATGTTTAATTCAGTAAAATTACACACTTTTTGAAGCCATGGAACTTTTTCAGTGCATATCACTTTTATATGTCATAGGTGCTTAGCCTTATACTGTATGTAGTATAAAATTTAGGAATTAAAACATTGTGTTGCCACATGTACTGCATACAACATGACAGTCAATTGCCCAACAAGAAGATCATGGAAAATGTAGAAAAAGATTTCCTATTATGAAACATCCTCACCCCCAGTTTTTCACATTTCCAGAGGGTTTTATCAACAGATAAGAGAACGTTTCTTATGAGGAAAAAACACAACAAGATCATCATGCTGATTCTCCATTTATTAGTTTCTGCTTTTATAGCTTGAATATTAAATGAAAGGAAATCCTGTTTTGTTTAAAAAAAATATTTCAACAAATTAAACAAAAGGAAGCCAGTTTTAATACATAATGTGTTTTAAGCATGCATTTTTAGGCATGTATTACATGCAGCTATTAATTCTGTAGGAGGCATGCTTGCTATTTCCACAAAACTTTTTATTTGCCCTTATTGATAGTTATGGATTTGTTCAAGTTTAACTTCAGACTGCTGCAAAATGAGGTTTACAACAATTTCCTTTCTTGCCCTCTTTTGGAGGATTTAATGCAGTACTAAATGTACTATAAGAAGCATTACTAAAAAGAAAGCTCACAAAAAATGCTGTTTCTTGTAACGTCCTGGATGCCATGTCATCATCAGAGCATTTTTATGCACCACATGGGGAAAACGATACTATAACTACATTTTTCCATTAATTACACATATTTTCAGTAGATGAATGCATTAAACATTAATAACAATTTTCAAGGATAAAATAAAATGTTTCTTGATCTTCAGCAGAGATTTACTATTGTCATTTCACATAAAGCAGCAATGTCACAGAGGAAAAAAAAAACATCATACCCAAGAATTACTTTCTATTACTATTGAAATTACTATAGGAAATAACTATTGGACTTACGGATGTTTTCTGTGTTCTCCTGCACGATGTCGGTCTTCAGAAGGTTATCTGCCAGAACAAATGCACCCTCTTCCACAGTGTCCAGTAACATGGTGGCAGCACGCAACTGGTCACTAATTGTGAGATCTCTCCAGGCCGCCTGGGCATGGGGCTGAAGGAGGTTGTTCACTGTCTCCACCATAGCCTGGATAAGTGGGAGGCAGAAAAGCATGTTGAGCTCAGGCTTTGTAGAATACAAAGGCATAAAGAACGTCATTATGCACTGCCACCACTGCCATCGCTGACAAAGACAGGCCTTTACTGAAGTTTGCTTCTTTTACCTTTATGATACAATTTAGAATTCTTATAGAGTTTCATTTCTGCATGAAACTCATAACTTCTGAACTACCATTTCATGGTAAATAAAAAGAATAAATTTCTCAGAACAAGAAGAAATGAGATGCTTGCTTTCATCAGAGGGTTTATAACAGAGCTGTTTATTCATTCTAGAAACAAACTACAATAAAGATACCAAGCCACAAACATGATTTTTATAAAATAAACAAACATAAATAGTAACCAAAGCACAAATAGGATTCCATATTGATCGAATTAAAAAAAATACCAGTCTTATGACCTCTTATTAAATGTCTTATGCATATACAGAAAAAGTACTGTATTGTGATTCTTTCTCTAATATGTTGTCAATATATAACTAAAATTGCTACTTAACAATTCCAGACATTGACAAGAAGTTCCAGTTTTGTGCTCAGTAATTGCAGTGAATAAAGAATAAACAGGAAATTATAGACCATACACAATTCTAAAAGAAGTATGATGTGGTGAAAAGTGACATATAAATTCAATATGCAATCATTTTACTCTTTTTGATGACAGTAAGTATATTTCTTTGGACTATTTGTCAAAGTAATTTATCGTTACAAAAATAACAAATTGTGACATTTGGTTAACATGCTGCTGGAAACCTGTGTTCTAATTCATAAAGGCATCATAATGACCACCTTCATCAAACAATGAGGAGAATAAGGCTTGTTAAATTAGATACTGTAAATTCCTAGTTTCACATTGTTTTATGCATGAGAAAACTTGTTGTTTTAATGAAACAATAAGTCAGTAGCACACAAAAGGTACATCTAGCATATCTAAAAAAAGAACATAATACTTAAGAGCCTGGGTAATACTGTATAAGCTTTTGTTTTGCAGTCTATGTCATGCCTTGCTGTGCTTGAACAAATTGGTCAGCAGGTGGAGAGAGATATTTTGGGCAACATGATCCTCCAAGAAGAGTGAGAAAGCAAGACTGAGAAAGTTTTCTTGCTATTCACTTACTATATTACTATACTTACTAAATAGTATTTCATTACTATATGTGATATAACTACTCTATTATTCATCATAATAGTATCATAACACTTGTAATTATTGAAGGAATTTTATAAATTTTATAAAAGCTAACAAACTGCTTATCTTCTAGCTCCCAAACTGCTTATAACTCTGGCAAGTGGAAACGTACCAGGGAGCATCTCAAGTACAGCTCATGTCTTAAAATATAGTAAAAAGGGAAGTCGAATGTCACGTTTTGCAAAAGTAAGCAATAACGAAAGTCTTAATAAGGAGTTGTTTTCTGCTACCCAGGCTTGACTAAAAAACTGATGGTTTGTTTTAGGGATTAGGTAATCTATGTTAAAGGTAGGAAGTTTGTCTACTATGTATAAAAAGCGATGAGCAACGTCTATCGGGGAGACTAGCTTTTGCAAGCTGATCTCCCGTATGCATACAAATAAACAGCTCTTCTTTCTCCGACACTCTGACATTTTAATGTTTCTTCATTAATATAAGATAATTTGTTTTTACTACATTTAATGATCACACTATTACTGGTACTGCTAATAATAGTATCAATAGCAAAAACAAAATATAAATATTGTTATTGTCACTGTTTGACCAAATACATTTCCCAATGTTATTCAAAATCCATGTAATTATCTGTACTCAGGGTGCCATGTTGATTTTATCATGGGACTTTGGCAAACAGTCAGAGATAAAAAAAATACTTGCATTTTACTATCATATTATCAGGTTTTAGTAAAATGACTAAACTATTATTAAATTTTTACAGCACCAACGGCAAGTTAGAATAAAAGCAAATACTGTATACCGTGTGCCACACCTGAAGAAGGCTCCACGGCCGAAATGTTGTGTTTTCTTTCTTCTTTTTTTCAGCATGGAATAAACCTATTACTTGTTTTTTTGCAGCCTACACATGCTGACGCAGCTCCCCACCTGAACTACCGTATACTGTGCCCTGCAAAAGTATTCACCCCCTGCTAATGATGTCCCTAGGTGTTAATTTTAAATAATGCTTTTAAAAAAAATGATGTACAGTATGTAACTCAACAATGTGCAACATTACTGGATAGGTGTAAATACTTTTGCATGGAAGTGTATCTGATTACTTATATACAGCATCATCACACATAATTACACAATAAACTTATATATAAAAAAAAACATTAAAGATTCTGACCTTCTTATCTCCTTTCAGTTTGTTTATGTTTAACATTATAGCTGTTATGCCTCTTTTTAAAATATTTTCCTAGTGATGAAATGTACTGTACATTTAAATAAATAATTTCTATTTTTACTAAAGTATATGTGTTTCATATACTGTAAATCACAACTATTTTAAAGCACACAGGTAAAGCTCTTAAATCTCTTGAGATAAGTAACTCTGCATCTGTATGCACAAACTTAAAAATAAAGTAGTTAATGTATTGTAAATTATTATCTGCTGGTGAATGCTGCCCCATCTTTATTTTTACCACATACACATTACTGCTATCATCAAGGCACACAGGCCCTTTAAGTCTTTAAAATAGGGTGAAAAAAGAATGAAATGATGGTAAAATTTGCAAGCAAAGTTAGGGAAAAACAGAGTTTGGAGCTTTTTGTCAAAAGACGTGAATATACAAATGTAATGGAATTCACGGTCTTAGAAAAAAAAATCAAGCAATACTAAGACTGTATATTGCAATGCCTTTGTAAAAAAACAGAGCACAGCTGGGTATAGTTTTGATTGGTGAACTATGAAAGGGAATATGAGATTTTAGAATGACTTCATAGAAGCACAAAAACTAAACCCCAGGCTCAAAAGAGCATACAGTTTGAGTTGGCCCAATCAAACTAATTTAGAGCTGAAACAAAAAGCGGATTTCCAGTTTAAGTTTTGGAATCCTCAAATGCATACGGAAAATAACCCCTAATCAGTGTTACAGACTAACTTACAAATACAACAAGATTTTGCATACATTCATTGGCCAGTATATCTGTGGTTTGACAGAACACCTTTTGAAACATTGCTACGATGTTCAGACACTTAAAATGACTTTTATGACTAAACAGTTTTATATTAAACTGAACTCAGATACACAAGTTACCTTGTCTTGTTCTATTTGCAGTTATATTGAAGATGGTTTACCATCGTGATTGCCAATATACTGTATTTTTAGGTGCTATATCATCATAATAACAGTTTTTAACCTGCAATATAATACACTGCAATTGCAATGCAGCTGTGAAGCAGATTATTTTGGGAAGCTACAGTATGTATAAAGAACGCAACTCAAATGAATCTTGACAGCAGAGTGATTTTTTGGGTCAAAATCTTTTCAAAGCTGTGTCACATCTTCTTAAAATGTACTGCAAGCTTGAGATGGGAAATAATCTGAAGCTAATTAAAATTATTTTCCATATAACATATGAGATCATTGCACATACTCATTTTGCAAAACTGTGAAGCCATGTCTGTAATCCTTTCAACTGTTAATTTGTGAACTTCCACAAATGGAGCTAATATTGAAAATACATGGATTCCATTATGATGATTAATAGAATCTGATATCACAGTATGGCATTATGGAGATTTTTTGGACCATACAATTATTATACAGTTACATAGTATGTTCTAAAGTAAATGGTCTGGTATAGTTTGAATATTGTTTCACCTCGATCTACCCTTTTCAGTCATTTGAGACATACTGTAGTATAAGTTTCGAAAATAGTGTGGCAGCTATTGGTGTCAATAAAAAAGTTCATTGTAACAGCTCTTTTTCTATCTTGGAAGAAAAGGCCGTATTGTGACATGAAAACAGAATGGATGGACAGTGTGACACCAGTAAAGATCAGTGAAAACAAAAAGCAAATAAATTAAAAACTACCATCAGGAGCAAGAATTTACCCCAGTCATTCTGAGGAGAAGATACAATCCTACATATTGTACAATTATTAAACTAGCAAACAGCTTGCTCATACAGCATTAAACATAATATCTAATTCTGATGTCGCAGTTTCTCTTTTTAATATAGCTGTCTGCAGTTTCTCTTTTTGGCACATTAGTTTTGCCGTACTTGCTAAACCACTTATAAGTTTAATTAAGCTGAGTGCATAATAACTTCATGATTTTAACATGCTAATGTAACTAATAGGTAACCGTCACATGAGTTGTGAGTAGAATAAATTTGACTTGCAAATCAAATGTTTATATAAGAACATTGAAGGTTGCCAAATTCCTTCTTAAAGGTCTTTGGCAAGTTAATACACATATACAATTAGATAAATCACATATATAATTAGAAGATGAATGGTATCTTATTAATGACTGCATAATTATAGATTACATATAATTTTGAATTACATTAACTATGAATGAGGAAAACTGGATAAAACTAAGCATTCCCTGTTTTTTACAAGAAGTGGTCTCATTTACAAACAGAAAGCTTTGCCTACCCATAAACTTTTGAAAATCCTCTACTTCCTGACTGGTGATGCTTTAATGGATAAAACCATAAAGAAGTGGTAAATCTCCAAGTTCCCCAGGGCTGTTGCCCTCATTCTTTATTTACAACTCAGGCACTGGACATGTGCAGTTTTATAAAAATGCACACACATTACACTTCCAAACAGTGGAAATTTCTGCGTAGGATGCTAAGTACATATATCACAGAACAAAACTACCTCCATTTTTAGAATACATTAACTGCTTGTGAAAACAGATCACAGAAAGAAACAATTTACCACCTCAACAATCTGATAGAATAAACATACTGTATCAACGATTTTCTCTTGAATTAAGTGATCAGCCCTGAGTAACCTGATCCGATAGTAGTCAGAACCAAACTGGTCAGT